AAATAATGTTCAGATCGTATTGGGTCACTATGATTTGAAAACAACTGGAAGGCACATAATAACAACAATGGGGTGGGTGGAAGGGTAGAGACTCTTAAATTAGCAAACTAATTCCTTCTTTCTGTGCTCTTCAGGTGAAAGCAAAGAAAATTTTAGCAATTCAGGAAACCAGAACAAATGTTTTTCTTCTGTACTGCCACCTGCTGCCCAGCTGAAACATGTAACACAATTCCCTTTTAGTAAGTTTTAAGAGGCTATAAATTACTTGAGAGGCAAATGTCTGCCCCACCTCCCACCTCCCCACCACCACCCTGGAGGAACTGCAGATGGATTCCAGTGGCTAGAGAGGTGCAGCTTTTGTGCTAGCAGCTCTTCCGATTAAACCACTTTTCTCTTGTGCACAAGCTTATTGAAGTCAATTCTGTTCAGATTGTTGTTGTCATTATATGCCCTCTAGCTAGATTAACTGACCGTCCAGTGAATTTTCAGAGTCTATAAATTGGATGGAAGGAGCTTGCCCATCTTTCTCCCTCAGAGCATCTGGCGAATTCAAAGCAAATGCCTTTGGCAGCTCAACTTCTTACCTTTAGGCCAGAGATCCCACTATTCAAATTAGATACTACAATTACGGAGTAAATCAAGCCTCTCAGATCCCCAAGAGGACACAGTACATTAATCCTCACCTTTCTAAGCTTGATATCCCTTTCTGAGGAATAGTTTGTCATAACAACATGTCTAACATATGTGAGATGAAGTTTTTTCATCTCTAAGAAGCACAACAACAGTACCTTTTCCAAGACACATCTATTTGTTCTTTTGGCAGTGCATGGGATATTCGGCACACTTCTCCAACACCATAACTCAAAGGCGTCAATTCTTCTTCTGTCATCCTTATTATTTGTGCAGGTCTCAGATGCATGGCAAGTGCTTGAAAAGACCATGGCTTGAATTAAGAATACCTTAGTCTTTAAACTGATATCATCATCATCATTATTGTTCCTTAGTAGAGAGATCCGTGACAACAGACTTTCCCAGTGCAAGTGCCACAAGTGTTGATTATGAATTCAAGGAAGATGAAATTGATGACAACCTGTTTTTTCTCCATCTATCGTGTTATTGATATCTGTCCAGTGATGAGAACTTTTCTTTACCTTATATTGAAATATATCCAATATTGAAGGTTGTAGTCTTTGATCTTTTGCAAGAAGTGTTTCAAGTTCTTCTCACTTTAACAAAGAAGGTTATGTCATCTGTACATTGCAGGTTGTTGAGTCTTCTTGCAATCCTGATGCCACATTCTTCTTCATAGAGTCCAGTTTCTCAAGTGATTGAGCCATACCATTAGAATTGGTATGGGGAAGATACAGCCCTAATGCAAAGGTATATTTTCAACTCTGTGTGTTCTCTTGGCTCTGTTCAGACAACAGCTTCTGATCCAGGTATAGGTTTTGTATGAGCACAATTAAATGTTCTGGCATTCACATTCTTCTCAATGTTGTCTATAGTCATGATCCACATGATCTAATGCCTTTGCATTATTAAAAAAACACAAATAAACATTCTTCTGGTATTCTCTGTTTTCTGTCAAGATCCATCTGACATAGGAAAGTCTAACTGCTTGGTAACACTATGCCCACTGTGCTTTCTATTAGACTTTGAAGGACCAGGTACAAGAATATTCTGTCCTGTGGTGGGTCAAATAGATTAATCAAATGATGAGTTTAAGAGAGTGAATCATGACTCAGTCTGAATCATGAACTACTGAGATGAGCACACAATGAACTAAACTAATAAGCACATGATGATGAGGCGGAGGTGATGAGCCCTTCTCCATTGTAGTATACCATCAGAGCAATGCAACAAAGTGCTAATGTCTCAGTTGGTTATCAGAGCATTATAAAAATGTAATGGAGGAGAGAAATACCACCTTTTTTGTATTCTGCTTGATTTGTAAGAATGTGAAAAAATCAGTCCGTAGAAGTTAAAGAAGTCAGTGTATGAGAAAATATCTAACATAGTGTAAGTTATTTCTTTTTTCCCTTGCTCTTCCTACCCTAAATATTATTCTCTCTCTCTCTCTCTCTCTCTCTCTCTCTCTCTCTCTCTCTCTCTCTCTCTCTCCCCCCTACACACACACACACACACACACAAACTCTGGTGGCCTAGTGGTAAGCAGTTGTGCTACAATCCCTAAGGCAAATGGTTTGATTCCACCAGCTGCTCCATGGAAGAAGGATAGGAAATCTCCTTTGTGATTTACTGCCTCTGAAAACCCAAAGCAGGGTCAGCTATAGGCTGGTGTCAACTTAATGGTACTGAACAACAACTTCATACCCTCTTTAACTTTTTTGTCCTAGTCCTTCTCTGATTCTACGTTTACCTGGAGGTATTGCACAAAATTACACACTTGTAGTATGTCATGCAATGATGATAATAGCAAATCAAAACAATGAAATAATTTCACTCTGCAACAATGACAAAGATCAATATAGTATGGCAAACAACAAATGCTGGCAAGAATGTGGAGAGATTGCAGCTCTTATATACTAGTGGTGGGAATATAAATTAGTGCAATCACTATAGAATGCAGTCTAGTTCTTCCTCAAAAACTTGCAAATATAAGTACCATTTGACCAAACTGGAAATAAATCCTAAAGAAATCAGAGCTGTAACACAAACAGATGATGCACACCCAGCATTATTCACAATAGCAAAGAGATGGAAGTAGTCCAAATATCCATCACCAAATAAATAGACATGTAAAACACTACACAATGTAGAAGACATGCTGAGTAAATATGTCAATCACAAAATAAATACTTTATAAGGCCACTGCCATAAAAATTAGATGGATATGGGAGAGAAGTGAAGACTAGGCAAAGAATGGATAGATAATGACTATTACACTTGGAATAATTAGGAATGGATGATTAGACATTACATGTCTGACAAACAACGATCAGAAATAAGCATACATTAAAAAGTGAATTGGGTGGGGAGTAGGGAGGAAAATGTGTATGGGTGAATTAATGAAAACCAAACTCTTCATAAACTATCCATCTCTAAACTTTTATCATCAATTGAATTATGATAAACAATGTTAAACATTAATTAAATCTCAGTTTGAGATTATATATATATATATATATATATATATATATATATGTTGTTGTGTGCCATTGAGTCAGAAATGGCCTTTAGCTGACCCTCTAGTGAGTTTTGAGAGGTAATAATCACACAGGGGAGATTTCCCATCTGTCTCTCACTGAATAGCATGTATTCGAACAGTGTACCTTTGGGATTACAGTGCCGTTTCTTAGCACTAGGCCACTGGAGCTCCAGGTTCAATTATAATAGTCCTTTTGGAAGTCTTGATGTTAAAATGAAAAAACTTCTCAAGTGCTTAACTTATATTCTAGCATAGTGTAAAAAATGTAATAAGTTTTCATATATTAAGACATTATAATGCAGGAAAGATAATGGATTTTTTCCAAGCACACACATTTTAGACATTGTAGAGAGCAAATTGAGTTCTGAGTCTTCCTAGCTATAAAATTCAAAGAGTATTTACAACTTGTGACATCACTAATTTTCCATATTATATATTATGAATAAAAGAGGGACAGAATAGAGATAGGATAGAGAGAGCCAGAGACACAAAAAGTAAGAAAGTAAACAGGCAACAACATTTTGAAACCACCAAAAACATATTATATGTTCAGACATCCCATCACACAAATAGAAGCACTCCCTGATGTCTATTAAGACTGGAGCTATAAACATGATCAAAGAAAGCCTAGCACAACATTCTCTTCCCTTTGATTGATTCATTGCCCTAGCTCTAGTCCACATTTCTCTGTAGGGCTATAAATGTCATGTTGTTTTCAGCTACTTCTCTTTGTACTGATGAAATGGAAATTTGTTTCTCTATCTTGGGATAGTCCAGGTTATTAACTAGGTCATAGATTCTTTTCTTCTACTGCTACAACCAACCAATTGGAAAGTTTTCGCTTTATTCTAAAAACAGCATTTAAGCCCATTGATGAGAGCAGACTTTAGGACAGTTAGCTACGTTTGCTCTATTGTTTACTGCATGAGACTTTGTATAAAGTGAAGTGAGGTAATGGCAATTTTCTCCTGTATCTGGGTGAGCCTTTTTTCATTAAAACTTAATCTCTAACAGCTACTCATAACTTTTCTATCATTCACTGTTATTTTCAATAGCGGCAGACTTTTTTTGTGACAGGTACAAATAGAAGAAATACCTTGGGATTGACATGTATCCCATATTGATACAGATTGAGTAGATCAGGCTAGAAAAAAAAATTCTGTAGAAAAACTCAGTGATAGAAGCAAGTGTCAGAATGCTATGTGCAATTGTGCCAGGAGATGTAGGTCAAGAAGGGATGACAGTACCTAAATATCCAAAAATGTTATTCTTTATGTTCTAGAACTTTATGGTGGCACAAAGAGAGCACAACAGAATGAAATGTTGTCTGGTCTCAGTCTATTCTCACAAGTTAGTATGTTTGATTTAATTATTGTAACCTCTGTGTACCTGGTATTTCGACTTAAAGACTCCTAAACTCAAGAGATACTGTCCATAGCATAAGAAACTGGCAGTAGTGCAAGATATTCAGAATCACAAAAGTCCAGATGGCTTGAGGCTTGAGCCATAATATCAAGAGCTGAATAAGGGGAGAGAGGTGTTGAATGGCATAGGTGGGATGGAAGGGGATGCTGGTGGAGTAGGGAAAGGGGTGGGGGGTCGAGACACACACACCAGGGGTGGGTAGCAACACTGAATCTATTGGTTATTTCTATAACTGGGGAAATGTCTTTCATCTGCTCCTTTCTGTAAAATGTTTGTCTGTCAGATACTATCCTAAATCTGAGCACTCAAATTAAGACAGACTAGAAAGAAGGATTGGCCACCCACTTCCAAAATAACAGGCCTTTGAAAATTCTATGTGCAATAGAGAACACTTAGACTAGCAGACATGGCAACTGAGGCAGAGACCTCAAATACGGAAATACAAGGAAGAAGGAACAGTCGTAAGCAGACACTAGTGATTGGAATGTAGAATGTGAGAAGCATGAATGTAGAAGAATTGGACATTGTTAAGAAAGGGATGGGACACATAAATATTGGCATAATGTTGTTGTTGTTGTTATGTGCCGTCGAGTCGCTTGCAACTCATAGCATAATAGGCTTGGTAATGTGAGATGGCTTGGCATGCGACATTTTTAATCAGATGATCATATGATCTTCTCTGCCAGAGAAGAAAAGGTGAGGAAAAAATGGGGTTACTTTCATAAGTAATTTTTAGATCCATCTTGAAATACAATGTGGTGAGTGACAGGATAATATCCATATGCATACAAAGAAGTCCAGTGAATACCACTATCATTCAAATATATGCACCAACAACTAGAGCCAAAGAGGAGGAAATAGAAGATTTCTAACCAACTTTTGCAATCAAGATGCATTAATAATAATGAGTAACTGGAATGCAAAGTTTGGAACAGGGAAGAAGTATCAGTAGTTAAAAAACATGGACTTGGTGACAGAACTGAAGCCAGAGATAGAATGATAGAATTTTGTACATTCAAAGATTTATTCATTGCAAATACTTCCTATAAGAAACACAAACTCAGGCTATACACATTGATTTCACCTGATGACATGCATAGGAATCAAATTGATTACATTTGTAGGAAGAATTGCTAGATAGGACAGGTGCTGATTATGAAACAGACCACCAAGTTCAAGCTGAAGCTGAGGAAAATTAAATCAAATCCACAGGAACCAAAATTTGACCTCAAGTCTATCCCAGTAGAATTTCAAAACCATCTCAACAGGTTTTAGGCCTTGAATACCAATGAGCAAAGACCAAATGAGCTGTGGGAGGATATCAAAGCTATCATACGTGAAGGATGCAAAAGGTCATTTAAAAGGCAGAGGAGGAAGGAAAGACCAAAAAGGATGTCAGACGAGACTCTGAATATTGCACTAGAGCACTGAGAAGCCAAAGCAGAGGGAAGAAATCAAGAAACTAAAGACCTGAATAGAAGATTCCAAAGGGCTGCTTGGGAAGACAAAGCAAAGTATTATAATGAAATGTGCAAAGAGCTGGAATCAGAAAATCAAAAGGGTCGAACTTGCTCAGCATTTCTTAGACTCAAGCAATTGAAGAACAAATTCAGTCTGTGAGTTGCAATAAATACTTAAGGATGCTTTGGGCAGAAAATTAAATTATTCAGGAAGCATTAAAAGAAGATGAAAGGAGTATACAGAGTTACTGTGCCAAAAGGAATTGGCTGACAGAGAATTCATGAAACAAAGTATGAGCAAGGGCCTGTGGTGATGAAGAAAGAAGTTCAAGCTGCTCTGAAAGAACTGACAAAAAACAAGGCCCCAGGAATTGACGGCTTACCAAGTGACATATTTCAGCACATAGATGCTGCCTTGCATGTGCTCACTATGTTGTGCCGAGAAATCTGAAGGTCAACCACCTAACCAATTTATTAAGAGAGTTCTATATTCTCAATCCAAAGAAAGTTGATGCAACAGAGTGTGGAAAGAATCAGTCAATATCATTAATATCACATGCAAGAAAGATTCTGCTGAAAATTATCCAAAAATGACTTGAATGTACTCATCAACAGAGAACTGCTAGATGTGCAGGATGGGTTTAGAAGAGGCCATGGTACTAGGGATATTATAACTAATGTTAGATGGATCTTGGCTGAAAGCAGAGAGTAGCAAAGGAATGTTTATCTGTGTTTCACTGACTATGTAAAAGCATTTGACGGTGTGGATCACAAACTGTGGCTGACTTGGAGAAGAAGGGAAATTCCAGAACAATTAACTGTGCTTATACAAAACCTATCCTTGGACCAGGAGGCAGTTGTCAGAGCAAGGAAACATTGCATGGTTCAAAATCAGGAAGTGTGTATGCCAGGAGTTTATCCTATCTCC